CTGCATTGCTCCGGCGGCACACCGTCCCGTGGCGTCCCCGACGCCGTCGTCTGCTTCTCCCCTAACTCTATCAATTTATTCTTTTTCCCTTAAAAAAATTAAATGCTATATATTGCTAATGAATTATTAATGATTACCATAACAAATTCATTTAAAAATTCATTCAAACACAGTTAATGTTAATGAATCAGTTTTTCATAATGTTAATGTATTCGCTCTAACATCAGCAGTTGAAACTTTGGGGGGAAGCAGACCAGGGCATCGAGGACACCCTGGGACGGTGCGCAGCGGGACCACGGCAGCCGCACTGCGGCGCACCGTCGGCGCCTCTGAAAGGAGCACTAAATCAGCGCTCCTTTCAGAAGACAGGGAAAGTGCGCCCTAAATGCGTTGGGCACACTTTCCCTGGCTTTTCCGCCGCAGCGTGTGAGGACGCTGCGGCGGGAGGTTGCCCCTGGAGCGCCAGCCGTGCGGAGGGCCGGCAGCTCCGAGGGCAACCTCGGGAGGAGGAAGGGGCGCCGCTCGTGCAGCTGCCCCTCCTCTTCCCTGCCTCGGAGATGACTTTTTTAGTCATCTGCCGAGGCCCTTTGTTGGCCAATCCTATCTAAAGTAGAGCCATTGAATCGATTACTGAATGGTGGATAAATCTAACTGATTCAATGGCTCTTCTCTACTTGAGACTAACAATAGGATTTAGGTCTTCATTGCAACAGCTCTACTGCCTGCTTGGTCCATTTCCAAGCACAATTCAATGGGTTGGTTATGTGCTACAAAGCTCAATATGGCTCAATTCCAGGTTATCTGAAGGACAATATTTTTCCATATGAACCCGCCCATGTTTTGAGATTTTCTAGGGAAGCTTTTTCCTCTGTCTCAGCACACACACAGGTACATCTTGAAGGAATATAGGCCTTCTTGGTGGCTCCTCCCAGGACCCAGAACTCCTTTTCTAGAGAAGCTAGACATGCACCCTCTTTGCTATCCTTTCGTAGATACCGTACATGAAGACTTTTTGTTTCCCTGAAGGCTGATTGCTCAGGAGGAAAGGGCCTTTCATTACGTGTTGCATTGTCTCTCTTGGTTGTGAGTGTTTTTAATAGCTTTAATAGCTTAATATTGGCTTTAATCCCATGATTAGTTGTATTATACAGGTTGAGCATCCCTAATCTAAATATCTAAAATCCAAAATGCCCCCCCCCCAGGATAGGATACTTTTTGAGTGCTGACCATGACTATGACAAATGGAAAATTCCATATCTGCCCTCATGAGATGGGTTGTGGATGCTGAAGTCAGCAGTCCCAGATGTCAGGCATACATTCTTTGGGTTCCTCCTCCTCTGGAGAACCCATCAGCCACTTGCTTCCACCTTTGAGGTGGTGGTCATGGCATTCCTGTTCATTCATTTTCAAGGTGGAAGCAGGCAGCCAGTGGGTTTGCAAGAGGCAAGATCTCAAAGAATGTGCACCTGGAAGTTGGGGCTTGCCATCACCTCTGCTGACGCCCTGGGACTGCTTTTCAGCCTGGTGAATATGAAACATAAATATAAATATCTGATATGAACACAGGTCTTCTTGATGGCTACTCCCAGGATCTGGAACTCCCTTCCTAGAGAAGCTAGACTGTCACCATTCTTCTGTAGGCAAATGAAGACCTTTTTGTTTCAGCACATCTTTGAAGACTGATGGCTCAGGAGGAAAGCACCTTTCATGATGTCTACACCAGTTGGTTTTCTTTCTTTTTTTCAAGTTATGCTTTAAATTGCTTTGAATTCTATTTAAAGTTTCATAATATTTTAAACTTTTCCATGATGTCAACTTACATAAACTGAGTCCAAGATGAACTGTCTCCATGTTGCAAAATTAATGCAGTTTGGCACCGCTTTAACTGACATGCTGCCATCCTACAGAATCCTAGGATTTGTA